GATAAAATAAATAGATTTTTATATTTTAATTAAATGTATTTTGTAATTTTATATATATATAAAAAGCAATTATATGTATACTATAATTACACAAGTATATTAATTTTTTTTTAATTTGAAAATAATATTTCGGTCAAATATTTTGAGTGAAATAGTCTAAAATAAAATATTTCTTAATAACATTTTCGGTCAAATTTTTGGACCGAAATATTCTAAAATAAAAGATTTCCTAATAACATTTTTGGTCAAATTTTTTGACCGAAATTGTCCAACATTTTCAATCAAGATGAAATTTTGTTCGAATTATTATTTCGTACAATAAATATTCGGATCAACAATTCGGCTAAATAATTTCACCGAATTAATTCTTATTCGGTTAAAATTCCTACTTATTCGGTCAAAATTCCTACTTGTTTTATCAAGATGCTTGACCGAATAAGCTCTTATTTTTAGCAGTGTAAGTAAGTTTTTCATGCCTATTTCAATATTATTTTTTTATCAATAGTTCTTAATAAGTTCATTAATTATTATTTTATTTAATCTTGTGACTGAAACACAACAATGACATGATATGAAGATAGAGGAGAGTGTTCAAAGAACAACACTGGGCATCAAAACTTGCTCCTCTAAACCCTCTTCTCGATAATCTAGTGCAGTATATAACCCATTCTTTCCTTTCCAGTGGTTAGGGAACTGTTCTTTGCAAACCCTTCCTCATTCAACAAATAATCATCCCCCTACTTCATATAATAAGAAAATGATCAAGCGAATAGGAATGGTTAAGGTGAGAGATTGTTTCTTATTACCTAAAGCCACTTGTTTGTGGATCGCTTGAAGCCAGTGCAGAAAACTATTTTGTCAAAGGGATGTGTCTTCCCATTCTCAAATGACACCTCATTGCCTCTTAAGCTTGATATTGCTGGTAAGACCTACTCAAATTAAATGCAATTAATTAAACAAACATTGTCATAAGTTGGTAGTAGCCAAAATACTATTGAATGGGTATAGCCTCAATATCAACCTCAAATTAAAAGCAATTAAACAGTTCAAAAAAAAAAAAAAGCAGTTA